TTTTTAAGGGCTTCAGTCTTAAATATAAATGAACAACAGACTGATGAGGAAATCCTCTAGCATGAAAGATTAAGACTAAAACAATGAAAATGAAAAAAAAGGACCATGTAGACAAGAGACAGTACAGGACCAGCAGAAGAAAAGTTAAATTTCCTTAGGGAGAGAAAAGATGATGGCACAAGAATAGGATACTATGGAAAAATGCATTTAGAGAATAAGGAACATCTTAGAAAAAAACCATGGTGGCAAAACCAGAAAATTCAATATAAAGATTGGCATATAAGGTGGAGGAAATTTCACTGAACATAGAACAACATGCTAAAGAGATGGAAACTAGGAGGAAAAAAAGATTAAAAATTTATTAGAGCGCTCTTAGAAGTCTGACATCTATTTAACAGGAGTTCCAGAAACAGAAAACAGGAAAAATGGAAAGGTAGAATTAGCAAAGCTATAGGCTAAGGAAATTTTCCAATTGAAGGGCAGAAAGCAAAATGAAAGGGTCCACTGAGCCTAATATAATAATGGGAAAAGACCAAATCAGGGCAAACCTTCAAGATATTTCAGAAAATCTGGGTAGCAAGATCTAAAAGTTTCCAGTGAGAAAATACAAAGGAATTAGAATGACATTGGTTTTCTAAACAGCAGCTCTGGAAATTAGAAGACAGTATAGTGATGTGTTCAAAATTATGAAGGAAAATATCCAATCTAGAGTGCTATGCCTCAACCAACTATTAGGCAAGTACAGACATAAATTAAATACCTTTTCCAATCTGCAGTCTCCAAGAATGTGTAGTCCTATCTCCAGAATATTCTGAGGATGTACTCCACTAAAATGAGGGGAAAAAACAAGAAAGAGGACAATATGAGATTCAGGAAACAAGAGGTCTACATAGGAAATGATTCCCAGGATAATAGGAAAGCATCATCCCAGGATGACCACGGAGCAACGCCTTAAAATCAATCCAGACTAGAGCAGAGGATGGAGGGCTGTAAGAAGAGATGTCTCCAAGGAAAACAGAAATAGAACTGATAGATTACCCGACGTGATTAACATTGAAAGGAGAAAAGTCTAAGTGTCAATTTGTGACTGGTATATAGAAAAATAAGCCAATGATAAGAAAAACAAAGACAAATTTTAACTGGAAAAAATAGTTGTGCAACAAGAAAAAAGTTGTTAAAAAAACACAAAAGAAATGAAATCATAGTACACCACATGGCTCAGCTGTGAGGAATATTTGCATAGTCATAACACTATAAACATTTAACGTTTTTCAATAAAAATCATGATATAAATACAGTGGGAGTTTAGGAGTGAGTAAAGTGTATGTGTAGTTAGTATAAGAGAGTTAAATATTCTTCTGCATTAGGAAGTCAGTAAAGGATGTCTAAAAATGGGAAAATAGAAAAGAATAGCAAATAAGGACATTTAAAAATAAATATGAAGATTTATATTAGAAACATTAAAAAATAAATATAAAGATATATATTAGCAGAAACAGTGAAAAGAGTTCAAAGTTCTGGGAAGAGTTTTGGGAGTGGAAAGGGTAGGTTGCAGTCTTTTGCTATAGTCCTTGCAGCGCTAAAGCATGTATTTAACTTTTAAAACTGTGTAAGTGTATTATTTTTATTTTAGAGGGTGAATTGCATATGCTTCAGAAATATTTGCATTGAAGGCAAAATGGCTATTTCCCAATAGCTTATTATTTCAACACATACAAATAGGCTAATTCACATCATAGTTAATCCACTGCCTGGGAAACATTAAGATTTAACATTTAGAATAAATTTCAATCTGAATTATTAAAATGAATCTCTTTGTTAGCATAACCATATTTCTCTTTATTATTAAGGGCAAGTGAGTCACCAAAATTCGTTATTTTAGACTAGCTCAGAGCTTCTCAACTGGGGAAGATTTTGCCCCTCGGGGAACATCTGGCAGTCACAACTGGGGTTGGGGGCAGATACTGGCATCTAATAGGTAAAAGCCAAGTATGCTGTATCCTATAATGGACAGGACAACTCCCCAAACAATGAATTAGCCTGTCTCAAATGTCAATAATGATGCGGTTGAGAAACCAAGCTCTGAGTCTCTGAGGATTATTTCATCAGAGCTCTATACATAAAGATTGATGATATGCAAACATTTTGCAATTTAGGAATGACTCAGCTAAATATCTTGGTGCAATGTTGGAAGCTGTCTGTCTCTGAACTATATCTTTGGGAATATTGAGAAAGGTATAATAAATGATAACAATAATAATATATAGTGCTTTGTACCTCAATAATCTCTTTCATCCATCGTTCCTAGGGCACTTTATAGACTAATAATAACTACTCTGGTACTCACATGTTACCTTTTATCTAAGGATCTCAGGCACTTTCACAACGCTCTCACAATGTAGGAAGTATTATTATTATTATCCCCATTTTATATGTACGTAAACAGAGGCACAAAAGTTAAGCAACTTACTCAAAGCCACACAAGTCAGTAATAGCCAACATTCCTGACTCAGAGCCTATTAATATTTGAGAACTGTTCTAAGGGATGCAGTGACAAATTTATGTGGCATAAGTGTTATCCTAATTATTCAGCCTATTGTTTTCAAGTTAGTATTGTGTATTCAGTACCTTTTTTGCCTAACTTCCCCCAAACTCCCACATCTTAGAGACCCAGGACTCTCTCTGCTTGATATCCCATTAATAAAAGGCACTGTATTTACTGAGTGCCATCCTTGAACCAAGCACACTTAACACGCCTGCCGTGTCAATTCTAGTAACAGCTTAAAAATACTGGGGGTGCCAAAAAATGTATACAGGTAGACACTTTGGTTACCGTTGTTCAAGCAGTAGTTCACTGTAATCAGAAGCGTCTGGACGCTGATGGTAACCACTTTGAGCACCTCTTGTAATAGCAGAAGTCAAATATGACTTATATTCATCTTTTGTTATTGGTATATGTTGAGTATTACAATTTTAATAACAGTTTTCCTTTCTTTAAATGTGTATACATTTTTTTGGCATGCTCTGTATATGCTGTTATTGCTGACTTTTATAGTAAAGAAAGCTGAGTTTCAGAGAATTTAAACATGCCCAAGATCTCTCACTTACTTATATTTATATCCAGGCAGACTATATCCTCTTTCCATTGCATTCTGCGGCCCCTCCAACCATATTAATGTGAATGTTTAATGCCCAACCCTCCCTCTTCCCACTTAAAACTCAGAAAACAAACTAAAGAACCTGTAACTGAGGAATTTCAGGTGGTGCACCCAGGTTGGTACCAGCTAGGCTCGGCCTTTTAAACCCATCCCCAAGGCAGGCCTTTAATTTTCTAAGGATTTTCTCAGAGCTCTCTCCCAGTTACCCATATGTTCACCCCAACAGTGAGACCAAAGACCAGAACTGTGTGACTTTCCTTCTGAGAAATAAATAACAAGTGAATCACTTTTTCCTGTTCTCATTCCTGTTGCAGGCACACAATGACTGCCCACCCACTGTGTGCCACCTGGGCAAAACAGGAATACTAAGTAGGAAGAAAGATTTACTGTTAGGTAAGTGTGACTCAGGGCTCGCCTACGTTTCCCAAAATGGCACATTTGTACCCTACCACAATGATGTTTCCTGGCATTGCTTGAGGTCAGTCTCCTTAGGACCCTGTCATGGGCAGCCCACCCAGACCTGATCCAGAAATCTTAGATGACTTGCATCTGAGGATAAGATTTACCCTATGGCGCATTAAGGATGGAAAAATAGACATTCACCGCCCCAGCTCATAGCAAATCGGCATCACTGCAGCTTTAGTACTTTCGTAGGGAGCTTTGCTGCTAAATTCACTAACTGCAAAGAGGAGGTGTGGACAGGGTTAAGAAGAAAACTCCAAATAGGACTGAGATCCAAGCCAATCCAATCCATTGTCGAAATGTTTTTAAATTTTCTCCTATAAGCATAATAGTAAACCCTTGATAATTGTCCATTTAAAGCCCCTCCTTTTAGGTAACCCTTTTACTAGGCTACCACAAACTTTTCTTAGTAAGGAGGGTGCTGGGTTTGTATCAGTTCTTTTTATTCTCTACCTGCCTCCCTAGTACATCCGAAAAGGGGCAGCGACGAGCAAGAGGGACGCGCGAGTGTTTTCCCATCCTGGTGAGTCGGGCCCTGAGTCACCCCAAGTTGATTGCACTTTCCCCCTCGGCCAGCAGCATTCGAGACTTTCCCTCGAAGAAATCTGTCTTGTACTTAAAAGGAAGAGCGGTGGGAGAAGGGAGAGGCGGAGAAGAGGAGCGGGGCGAAGGGCGTGGGGGGGCCGTTCCCGCCCGGAGTCGGAGGCGCCAAGAGGCCGGACGCCGCGGGGCTGCGAGCCCAGGAATGCGCGGTCCGACCGGCGGGCCGGCCGCGGCGCCGTGCACCTGAGCGCCGGGGGCGGGGCGGCGGCGGGCACGACCCGCCCCCCCC